GCATGTTTTACCATAAGGTATCTCAACCACAATGCGCTGACTGGGTCCATTCCATCCACCATCGGCAACATGACAAACCTCAGAGACTTGTGAGTAACATCAAGAGATCATAAAGAGAGCCAACATGACCGCTCACATGCTCATAAATATGAGGCCCAGAGCTGGCAGTTAAGAAAACGTCTGGTCTTTGCTCAACTTGACACAACTCCCAACTCGACTTCCACTCGAAGTGACTTGAATCGACTCGACACATGAGCATGTCTGACCCACGTTGTACCTATCCCAGAAAGGGAGAGTCCAGAAAATGCATCTGCATTGAAGAGTAAACAGCTTCGACTTATTCAAACCGTAGCCCACATGTGTCCAACGCGACTCATGAGTCAGGTGTTGTGGGTCTCGGTCGGATGGGAACAGGATTTTACTGAAGACCAGAACCCAGCACGACTTATTGTAGTTGTCATAATCTTCCCAACGCGGGGTTTGACTAGCTTGATCCTAGGCTTGTTCAAAACGTGGATTCACCCCTTAGTTTATCAGTTTTAAGGGTGAACTGGGGCCTGCCCTTGGCTATGACTAATGAGAGGGGTTGCAATGCAAGCATGAGCAGCCTCAAAGTTTGCCAAAGCGCATTTCCAATGTTGGACTTCGTGGGTCCAGGATGGAACCACGTACTCAAGGTCGAGAAACGTGCTTAATTGGGGTACCTAGCTATTGATAAAATTTACTCGAGGAACACCCTATAACTGATATGACCAAACGTTAATGTCTACACTAATTTTATGTACACAGGGTATATGTAATTAGACATACACAGGATACATGTTAGACACGAACACGAGGGCAAGCACCTGCTCGGTGCGCCTCGAACATGTTTTGTTTTTGTGGCTCAACGTGTTCAGGCCGAATATGTTCGTGTTTGTTTCGACATCCCTTTCCGACGAACGCAAATCTGCTCGTTAAAAAAGGTTGATGAAACACACTGATCAAGCTCATTTTTTAGCTCGCCTTTTTTCCCAACCCTCCTTCCACAGCCTAGACTGCAAGCTCCAGCAGCTAGGGTACCTAGACTCTAATGAAATAGTTGTGGTGGAACAAAAATCTACTTGTTTTATTTCTTTCACTCCCAAACGTCCACCAAGTATAGCCACACCAACCTGGATGCCAAAATCCACCATCCAGGATCATGTGTCTTGAAGACTGCTGATATGGCCAACACGAACATGTTCGCCCCAAACATGTTCGTTTTTGGGCAAACATCAAGGTGTTCACCTCCCAAAGGGGAACACCCGAACACCTTCCTCCACCTTCCTCCCTGGAAGTGTTCGGGCGAACACAAACATGTTTGGTACGCTGAACATGTATGTTCGATGCAAGGCAAACACGTCACCTTCAAGTTCGCCCCGAACATGTTCACTAGCCCAGGATGTGCATGTTCAAGCTCAACTTTTCAACATCCGTGCACTAGCCCAGGATGTGTAGAATGGGCTACTATTTATGATATGGGCGGCGGTTTCAGCAAGTTTATATTTCCAGCTGGTTTCTTCCCTAAACGCCCTAAACACAAGGCAAACACGAACATGTTCACCCTGAACATGCTGGGCCAGAAACAATCAAGTGTTCGCCCTTCTGCTCATGTCTACTTGGCATGGTAAAGTATTACAACGTGTTACCATAAATCCCAAATACCAACCTCAAAGCGCTTTAGTTAGAGCTTAAACCCATTCCCGATCCATACTTTGAAAACGCTCCATATGCAGCTGCGGTCACATGCTCCGTTCGAGAACCCGTTTCGCATGCAGGAACATATCCTCGACTGCAATCACATGCCCACCTGACTACAGCAGCTGCGTGGTCCCACAGACCAATTCAAGTGCTTTTTGCAGCCAGTGCGGCTCCTTCTGCACCACATGTGTCAAGCCACCACCAGGTAAGGCTAACCTTATGCAGGTGGCTCCTACTTTCACAGCCCATTGTTGCTTTGCTCTCATTAGCGCTAAGAGGATGAACAGTGCATAGCCACCTACTTAGCTAGCTTTTCCACTGTCAGGTGCGGTAACAATTACAGCTTCGCTGCTCCTCAATATGTGATTCTGTTGTATGCATCCTCATGGCTTTTACTGAAGAATACGTGTTTCTATCCTTCATTGCCTTCCTTTGCTTCCTCCCCCCATGCAAACTGTGCCTGATGCCACATCCACTTTCACCAAGCCAACCGCCATCCTCATGTTTGATTGCCTTTTCCCTTCCCTCTCTCTGTTTTTCTACCCCATAACTGTACCGTCCCCATCACCAGTGCCAAACCCCTCTCCACCTCCTCCAACGTCATCTCCCAGTGAGCCTACAGCCTCTCTCTCCCAAACTGGAGGCGGTTTATCCAGCGGAGCCATTGCTGGCATTGCTGCTGCTGGCACTGTGGCTGTCCTCGTGCTGCTGGCGCTGCTGATCTGGCTTCTGTGGAAGCGATACCGCACCAAAGGGGCAGCAGGAGGAGACAATACTAGCACCAATGTGGATGGCAAGAAATCAATAAATAACATTTTGTTTCAAGGTAAGATATTTACGTAGATGCTGAGCCTAGATGAAGCAATAACAAGGCAAACGCCAGGCAATCGAAAGAAAATCAGAGTATCATCAAAATCAGAAGATCATTAAAAAATCCAACAGTAAAAGCAACAATTGCATGTGCAATTTCTCACCATGGAACATTCCAGGTCCTCCCAGATTTCAAGCCTTCTTCTTGGTTGGGTCTGACTCATGAGTTTTGGGTTAAAGACTCAGAATCACTGGTCCGAATCTTATTTTTGGGTTGCGGCGCAAAACCCCACAAAATTGCATGTAATGGCACTGTCTTTTGCCTGCCGCTCTATGCGAAATAGTCATGAGGAAATGAGACAACCAGACTGGCTAGTTTTTTTTTTTTTTTTTTTTGCAGAATGTGAATTGCCTTGTCCCAAGTTCGGAATAATGGGTCTGGGTCGAACTGCGCAGGTTTGGTTCTAGTTGAACGATCAAAATTCAAGCTGGATATCTGGATTGGGGTTCATTGCCATGGTATCACACAGCCACACAGGTATGGTGTTGAGATTGCAGTACAAAAAGTTGGCGAAACTGTTCACCATGGATGTGATTGAATTCACCTTCTTGTAGAAATTCATCCAGCCTTAACCTCGACTTGTCAGGAATCAATGACTGAAGCAATGGTGCTTGCTGGTCCTTTCTGGGTCATTAGCAATCCAGCATAGGTGGTTTAAATTCCCAGGCCCCTTGAATTATCGGTCTTCTCTTTCACGTTCACCATCTTTTTCATCTCTTTGCAGTACCAAATAATGAGGATGAGGACCCAGCAGCAGCGGAAGGGGAGGCCGCAGCAGCTGCAGCAGCTGCCGCAGCAGCGCTACCATTACCAGCAGTACAAGGGATGCAGGGTGATGATTTTGTGGTGGAGATGGAGGCAGCACGGCCATACGTGTGTCGAGAGTACTCTTTGGCAGAGATGTCTAAAGCCACAGGAGATTGGGCAGAGGGGAACAGGATAGGAAGTGGTAGCTTTGGGGATGTTTACAAGGGTGTGTCGCCCCACGATTGCAATCAAGCCTGGGCAGTCAAGCGAGCTCGAGTGCTCACGAACGACTTCCAAAGAGAGGTACCATGGTGTGAGTTTTTGTTGATATGTTAGTGGCACGTTTCTCATTAGTTTCTTCTGCCAACCCCAAGCATAGTTGGTGGTCTGATTATTCAATCTCCTTTGATATGTTTACTGTTTTCCCTCTCAGGTGAAGGAGATGGCAAGCAAGCACCATCCGCATCTTGTGCGTCTGTTGGGCTATTGCATCGACATCGACCTCTCCACACGACTCATGGAGCAGATCCTCGTTTACGAGTTCATGCCCAACCACGACCTTGAGAGCTGGATTAGTTCTGGTGTCTCCCATCCTCTTTCGCTTCGTCAAAGGCTTGACGTTCTGATTGGAGTGGCAAAGGGGTTGCAGTATCTTCATGACTTCGGCATTGTGCATCGCGACATCAAACCTGCCAACATTCTCCTTGATGCAAAGATACAGGCATGTCAATATTGTGGTAGGCCTTGCTGTACATGGTCAAAGATGCCTACTCGTATCCATCCCTTAGCAACTATCATGTGGTGTTTTGCATCGCCTCGCATGCTCTGAATCTTTCACATCAATGCTCTTGTCGTCCATGGGCAGGCCAAGATTGCAGACTTTGGGCTTGTGAAGCTTGGTGGGGGCACTGCTATGGGCACGTCTGTGGCTGCCACTCGAGTGATGGGAACACCGGGCTATGTGGACCCTGCGTATTTCAAGTCTCATAAGGCCACTCCAGCAGCAGATGTGCACAGGTGAGCAGATTGGCACAGGTGAGCAGATTGGCAGCTGCTGAAATTTGCCCGCGACGAACACGAACAGTGTTCGAGGTTCGCCCGAACATGCCTGCACAGGCGAACAGCGAACACCTGTTTTTTCCTAAACTGTTCGCCGAACCGAACAGTGTTCGGTTCGGCAAAAGAGGGTGTTCGACAAGGGGCGAAGACGAACATGTTCGGGTTTGCCCTTTGCTCATCCCTAGAGCAGATTGGCACAGGTGAGCAGAGTAGGTTATGCTAGCAAATCCATGCAAGTTATAATGGCATGAGAAAACAGTGAAGGTTAGCAGATGAGCACTTTGGCATGAGAATACTGTTCAAGGAGGCTTCCAAATTTGATGAGAAATGCTCATGAGTTTCATTTCTTCTAGGGAAGATAGGGTTTGGGTTTCGGGCTTGCAGTGATTTCTATGTTTCCTTTGCCCCACACCCAAAGAAGGTCCATGCCTGACATTGAAGCCATTTCCAGGCGTTCTTACCAATCAAGTAGCTTGGTGATGCTTGGTGATGGGGCTTGCGTAACGATCACTTGTGGAATGATTGGGAAACAAATCCCATTGTGACCATAAAGCTTTTGTACATCTGAGCGCAATTTCAAGTATGATGCATTTGTTTATTGATGGGTGGCAGTTTTGGCGTGGTGACGCTGGTGGTTATCACGGCGCGCAAGGCTGTGCATGTAACAGAGGAAAACCAGATCAATCTCAAACAATGGGTGAGAGACAGAAGTGTATCATGCCAAGGATGGCAGATCTTGTAACACAACGTATGAGAAAGCCAGCTGCACTGCGTAGTGAGTTTGCTTGATAATATCAATATTTCCTTGTTGCCCTTAGCCAAACATATGTAGGCCAATTCATGTTCTCCTTACCTCCATTCCCAACAGGATACATGCTGCAATGATTAAGACGAGCACTTACCTTTGAATCACACCTTGTATCTGTAATAGGATTCACCTTCCTATTATCCTGCTTTCTATGTAGCACTAATTTCCTATGATCATACATCATTCCATCAATCTCTACGTTGCCACATTTCTACCATTCTTCACAGGTTTTATTTTAATGTGAAACTCTGTGAACATTTTGTATCACCACATTCCATGTGATCTATGCATTTAACCTCGCAGGTGGCCCCGTTGGTGGACTCCGGTGCTGTATTGGCATTCAAGGACCCTCACTTGGACGCACCAGATGACTTGGTGCTGCGCTGGGCTCGCCTTGCCCTCTCCTGCTCCGCCATGCCTGCAGCCTCCCGCCCCTCCATGAATCAAGTGCTGGGAGAGCTGGTGAAGTTGAAGCAGGAGGCGTCCGGAGCACATGAGAGCCATGTGGGCGAGGCCAAATCTCGCTTCGACATGGAGCTTGGGAGCTCCATTGGCTCCTCCAGCTTCACTGCTGAAATGGCCCGTGCGGAGCGCGAGGGGGGCATGCCAAGTGGCTCTTCCGCGTAATCAAGTTTGTTTTCACATGCAACGTACTGGTTCACCTTGTGCTTCTGATGCCAATTGTTTGCTTCATATGAAAACATGGTATGGGACACTTAGGAACACTGACAGAGGCTGTGGAAGGGATACTGGTAGCATCTTTTGATGAGCACAAAAATGGGACAGGAAAATTGGGCTGTGTAGAACACTGTAGCTTCGGCTTGTCCATGGGCCAGATTTTATGCTTGTCACCTTCTTCCTGGAACTTTTAGCTGTTGCATGCATGATTTTCTGGATTGTGAATTAGATTCGCGTATAGGGTTGTTTTGGGGTTTTTAGACAGAATATTGCTCTTCAAACATCAAGCTTGAAAAGCTAAACATTCCTCTGTATATCCCCTATCCCTCTCCCCAGTCACATGCCGCCTCTCCTCTCACACCAGCACTCCTTTCATACCCACCACTCCTCTCATACCCACCACTCCTCTCATACCCAGCACTTCTCTCACACCCCCCTATCCACTCTTACCCCCCACCCATACCATTCCCCAACCCCAACTCCTACCGTCATCGCCCGGATAGTAGACATCGTACACGGGCAAAAATGCTGGGGTTGTCTTGTATTTGGGACGATTTAGGGTGTCTTATAACTCTTACCGTCATATCCTGGATAAGCCCCCATGGGGGGCAATAATAAAACATGTTTTTTTTAGGGGGTGGGCTTATAATCGAGTAAAATTATAAGCGCCGGGGCTTATACAATTACATATATGAAATCTAGTTGTTTTCACTTCAAAATGTTCATCTTGTCATTGCGATTTCAAACGAGTCAAGATCATAGTGGGTGTGAAGAAGAATCTCGCGTAAGTTTGCGAACTGCCAACACACACAGTCAGAATGAGTCATTTCGCCCCATGACAACTCATTCTGACTAGACGCGCAGTCAACTGAGTCGCGCGAGGGTGGGGCAGTGAGTCGCGCGAGGGTGAAGGGTCGAAATTTCACCAAGTGAGGATGCAAATAGTGTGTTTCGCTACAGAGATTCCAGTAACTTTATAAAAACTAATACAAATGGTGGCTCTTATAATACGTAAGCCTTCAGGAGGTGCGCTTATAATCAAGCACCGGATATAAGCGCCACACGCCAATTAAATGCGCCAGGCGCTTATCCGCGGGTGGCGCTTATATCCGGGGTATGACGGTATAAATGGAGAAAGAACTGTTTAGAAGATACCCCCTCGCTATAAGATTGTCCCTAACCTCTACACTGGCTTAACGCGTACACACAAATAGGTGTCTTACAATGAGGCGAGCTTGTTTATAAGAGACACCCGGATAATAGACAACCCCTGTCTACTATTCAACACTGTCTACTTACTGGGCAATGACGGTATTATACTCCCCACTCCTCTCATAAACTCCCTCCTTTCGTAAACCCCACTTCTGTCATGCCTCTATATTCCTCTCATGCCCCTAAACTCCTACCATACCCCCTCTGTTACTCCTCACTCCTCATATACCCCCCACTCCTCTCATACCAGCCTCCTCTTGAGTCCCCCACTCCTCACACATCCCCTCTTTTCATAACCTTCACTCCTTTCAAACCTCCACTCCTCTGATAAACCCGGTTCCTCTCATACCCCTCACTCCTCTCATACCCACCATACCTCTATGCCCCCCATTCCTCTCATACACCCCACTCACCTCATAACTACCACGATTCTTTTACCAGCCATGCCTCTCATACCCCCCTCTCCACCCATCTCCCCACTCCTCCCATACCCCCAATTCCTCTCATGTCCCCAACTCCGTTTACACACCCCAATTTTGTCATAGACCCCACTCCTCTCATACCCCCCACTCTTCCCAATCATTTTATTCCAAGTAGTCGCTGTTTCTTATGGTCTTGCTTTCTATGCATGCGCTCCTGCATTGAGCCTTTGGACTCCTGCACCATTGTCTCGTCCACTCCCTCCATGCACTATGGATATTTTATGTTAGAAGAACCTGTGCAAGAGCAAGATTCTTGTGCTAGACTTCTAGTGCTGTTTTGAAATTATATAGCCTGTTCATAAAAAGTGCTACCGTAGCGACCATAAGCTTGATAGGTATTTGTGAATTGTGCATAGAAAAATGGTGTCTTTGATTAGATCTCCTAGCCTGATTTGTCACTGACTGTGCTCACACACGTGACATCTTCCAAGCTAACCAATTTGTAACATTTCTGATTAATTACTCTCAAATCTACCGTATAGTTCCGGCTAAAAGACCCGCCGGTAAGAAGGTACCCCGGGACTCTTGAATGGGTAGGGGGACTCTTATTGTGGCAGATTTTGTGAGGACCCCCCCTTTGCCTCTAATCATCATAAGAACCCCCCCCCCCCCCTTTTCTGTATACAGTAACTATTAATGCTATTGTGCATCAGTTTTTACTGGCACAAAATTGAATTTTGACACGAGTTTTGTGTCAGACTCGAATTCTGACACATTACTTATGTCAGACTCGAATTCTGACACAGATCTGACGTGCCGCTCGCGCGAAATTTGCGCGAATTCGGTACGAATATAAGACCCCCCCGCCCCAAATTGAGCCGTACACCCTAAATAACAGATTGATAGATGATAAATAACTGTACCCCGGGTCTTAAGATTTTGCAACCTCCAAGATGTCCACCCTAGCATTTTTTCAAGCAATTCTAGAGAGTCCCCCCGGTCTTCTAGCCGGAACTATACGGTAGATGAAAACACATCATTCAAACAAGGCACTGCAGATGGTTGTGAACCATTTTAATTTGGAACAGTGCAAGTTACTGTGTTGTGGAATGGATGGAGCACGCACAGTCCAAGGTTAAAGAAATCTTTATTGATACAATTTGTAGTTTGATTTGAACCATAATGTATCCTTGCAGCTTGACTACGAACTCAGCCTTCAACCGCCAAGAAATCATGAACGTACGTTTATCATGGCAGGAAAAAAGGCAGGGAGGTGAGGAATCTGAATGCTAAGAAGTAGGGCACACTTTCTAATGTACCTAACCTCTCACGAGAGCCAGTTCAGCATCGAGAGTCCCCTGCTCATTGTTCTGGGTGCCAATCTTGGCCTTGAGGCTGCTAAATATGGCTTGTTGGGGCTAAAGCGCCAATGGTACGTAGGTCAGTTGGTTGCTGACGGTAGGGTGGGGGAGGACAAAGGGTAGTGTGGGAGATTGTGGGTATCTCGTGTTTGTGGAAGGCATGGCCCTGCATCATACCTTCACCCACGACTGGCCTCAGACTGACATGAGGCTGACATGAGACTGACCAGAAACTGACCAAAAGACTGACCCGTGTTTGACCTTAGACTGACCTGAATTTGACCTTATTTGACCTAAGACTAACCTGAAACTGATACGAGACTGACCTGAAATTGACCTGAAATTGACCTGAGTTTGACCTGAGAGTGACCTGAGAGTGACCTGAGAGTGGCCTGAAAGTTATACATCACAGACTATGATGATGGAACGATAAGGGAGTCCTTGAGTGAATGAGAGAGAGCCCATTCTATTGCAGTCTGCATATATGTCTTTAACACGCAATGTCTCAGTACCTTTCTGATGACTCTTGTCCTCAAAGCTACTGACATAGACTGATGCAAAGCCAAGGAGACTCGGAATCATACGTGCACAGGAGGTTGCACCAGCAGCACACCAGGCAAGCAAGGCAAACACCAAGAGAGAAGCTACAGGGATGGGTTATGGTTGGCGAGATGTCAAGGTGACTCAGGGTTCCAATAGAGGGGCTAGGTTCCACCAATGTTTGACCGTGCCAGCTCCCTGTAAATACATGGCTTGATTAAACACTAGGTAGGGGATAAGAAAGGAGAGCATGATTTCAGCATGCTACACGTGTCTCCTATCGTGATGTGATAGGCCTGACAAGTAGCACGAGCGCTACAAACATCAGAGCGGACAAATGAGAGAGCTACCAGATAGTGGGTTTCGGCGAAATCCATTATCATAAACCACTGCCTCTGTCCTTAGGGCAGTCTCCTTATGAAGCAGGGGCCAAAACGGGGGAGTGGAGGTCTGTAGACTAAAATCTCGTTCTGGATCCATACACTATGTTTTGGCTGTACCCTGTGCACACAATGAATCGCTCACAAGCATAAAAAATTGTCTATGATTGTATGTTGAACCCTAAAGCTATAATGATTGGTGTCAAGCGTCTATTCAAGACATTACTAAGGCTGGAGTACGGTAGGGAAAGACGAATTTTCGGTGGAGCGGTGATTAGCCCAGAGATTGAAAAGAACACCGCACGCGCTCTCACAACTTGTGAGTCACAGTTCCACGAGCAGAATCTTGGCCCCATGCAGTGACAGAATGAACGGCGTACATACCATACTCATGGTGACTGCATACATGCTCATGATGACTGCATACATGCTCATGATGACTGCATACATGCTCATGATGACTGCATACATGCTCATGATGACTGCATACATGCTCATGATGTCTGCATACATAGGGTAGAGATCTAATCAGGAATGGCGCCAGGGAAGTTGTTATTGTGCAGGTCGCTGCACGGCAGAGCACAGGATCGAGACAGTTTCTTATCAGTCAGCTAAAAAGCACAGAGCTTGTAGTCGACTCTAAGGCAGAGCAGGGGAACAGAGGCAGTTGCATCGATCCATTTTAATCAATCTGACTTCTTTCAAGATTAGCTGGATAAACATCCACACGGGCGCGTAAGTAATATTGTTGAGGGCTGCAGCGTCACTTTATCAGACTCAAGGGGGCATTGCAACATCGTTATCTTGACAGGAGCGGAGCTTCACTGCCTTGCATGCAGCAAGGCGAGGAGGACAGTCAGAGCATGGCATGGAAAAAGGAGAGCCGCATGGCGCTATGAGTGAACAAATAACACGTGCAGATGCAACAGCAGGGTGGGCGAGGCAATGGGGTGGCTGACAGGATATCGAGGGTGGAGATGGTGCTGAGGGCAGACTGCTGTCCACAGTGAACCCGTTGACCGAAAGGCTCCTGC